TGCGCCGTAGACGTAGCGCAGGAACGACTTTATCGCGAATATTGTTCATTAGTTCTAGCCTATTAACCCTTTGCACTCGGGGCCTTTTTTCTGGTATCTACCAGCAACTCGAGATGTTTCTTAGAGTTCTATTGGCACGAATGCTAAGAGATTTGAGAATCAGGTCACCTTTGCCTCGACGATTTTATTGGAATTTCGAGTTCCAAAGAAATCAAACCTAAAGAAAACCTAGTGCAAAGGGTTAAATATCAAGTTAGTATCCTCCAAACCAAGGATGGGCATCCGGTGCCCGCGAGGACGGATTCTACACTGCTCAATGCCACCCCAGTTGCCCATCGCTGTTTTTACCCTCGTCGCGATCCCAAATGGATCCAGAATCCTTCTCCAATCAAAAATCTCCCGCGCACTCAAAGCGAGGAACTATTTTCTATTTTTATAAACCCTCGTGGAACTAGCACGCGAACCCATCGCATTTCCATATAAAAGGGCAAACGCGGCCCCGGAGACGGTGACTGCGCTCCACGGGAGAGAACCTCGAAGCGAGAGAAAAACTAGCCCGAGGAAGCACGTAGGATATCGAATCCGTAACTGTACAGATCAAAGATATCCACGCACGAGAACCTTCCAATTACGGTCGCGCGGGGGAGGATGACGATTTCTTTTCATGCAGGGAATCGAACTCGAAGAGATCTCTCGACCGCGCGAAATGCACCTATGTACGGAGACAGAGGGACGGAGAGAGAGAGAGAGAGAGAGGAAGGGAGAGTAGAGGAGCGACGTGGAGGGCGTCAATAACGCTCGCTTCACAAAGGGTCGCGATGGGAGGATAAATCGTCGAAGAGCCACGACGCCGCAGCCTTTGTCGAAGCAACCACCTCGGGGCAATGTTCCTCCGACCACGCCCCGGAAACCTTTGGCTGCCTCGTGTCAATGGAGACGCGGCCTTATTAGGATCGACGGTAATTTGTCGACGGGGATATTTGCTGATGAGGATTTCGACTGCGAGACTCGAGCATCTGGACGTCTTTCGCGAAGGGTGCGAAGGACCGCCGCGACCAGCTCGGCGAGGCCTCCAATGCGTCGCTGATTGGACGATTTCGGAGTCGGACAGATTTTCTGCTCTCGTCCGCTCTCGTCCGCTCTCGTCCCTTGATTCGTCGCCATACATTCGCTAGCGGAGGACGATTGGCACGATGCAAGGGATGCGGTACTAATTTTCTCGTTGATGGACATCTGTATTTCCGAGGGTCGCTCCGAGAGTCGCGTTCGAGAGATAGGGAACACTCTGCATGCGATCTTTCTGCATATTTTGTCCATTACCTTCTTCGGTTATGAATTATACATTTCTGGGGAGTTTCGTTTGAGGCGAAACATTGTTGTTTTCAAAGGACGTTAATGGCTATCACTGATTTGTTTGGGATCAACGCTGTCCATCTTCTCATCTCTGCAGAGTACATGGATCGGATTCACTGAATAATAATTTTGGTCATTTTTAGATTCTAGATGCCGTCTATATCTTCGACGAATTTTTAAAAGCGTTTATCTTTAAAATTAGGTCTTTGATATAGACATTCTATTCCGAATTCCGGATTCATTTTCTCACGAAGAATAGCCAAGTCGAGTAGAAAAATCAGTTAATAGTCAGACGTGGTCCCACAGTCATATACCCGTGGCGAATTTTTAAAGTCGATTATCTTTAAAAGTGGCTTTCCTAGAAAGAAATTTTATTTCACATTCTAGATTCGTTTCCTCACGAAGAATAGTCAACTCAAGTAGAAATGTCAGACATGGTCCCTTTGCCATATAACTTCCTCAAATTTTTGAAGCCAATCGTCTTTAAAACTAAGTTTCCTATGAAGCACTTTTATTCCACATTCTGTATTCATTTCCCCACGAAGATTCGTCTATTTAAATACCAAATAAATAATTACTCATTAATAATTGAGTTTCATTGTAGATGTTAATAATCTCGTTCATTTTTAGTTTCTAGCGAACCAAGATTATAATATGCAATTTTATAATATAACCTAGGAGTTTGTACTGCTACCAAGTGGACTCACTATCCACCTTCTCATCTCCACACAGTATACGAGTCAAATTGTCCTGCTTGATAACTTTAACGTTAATAATCTTGTTCATTCGCACATACCAGACATTAACAGAACATCTTCCCTTCCTTGTATCGTCTCTCTAGTGCACTTCAACGTACATAAAGAACCACCAAGCCACGCCCAATTAACCCTCATAACAAACAATAAATACTGCACAAAGAAAATGAATCAGAACTTATCCATCCACAAGCCTAGATCCGTCCTCCCTCTCTCGTTCGCTGTCAAAACGGACAATTTCCCCGAAAATCTCCACAATTTTTATTCGCATAGAACCACCCCCGAAAAACCGTCGGGAGTCTGTCGACCCCGAACGTTATTCGTGCGCGAGCGATCGCGGTGGCAGATAGCCGAGCCGGATCGGTGGCTATCTTAAATTAAGATCGAAGTAGCGAACGCTCGACGGCAACGCGAATACGCCGCGCGCCGATAGATAACCCTTCCAGCCGCAACAATTCATCGTTCGGACCGATTGTATATCTCCTTCGGTGTATCGCAAAATTATGGTGGTCCGAGGAACTAAATTCTCCCTGGTCGATGCGGCGCTGCAACTGCCGGACGGACCTAATGGGTTCGCGGTGGTTGATCGCAAGGGGCTACGATTTCATTCGGGGACGGGGGGATGGGGTCGAAGGGCCGTGGTTCGAGAGGGGGTGTCGGCGAGGCGTCCGCGGGACGGAGGGGG